GCAGCTGCCAGCAAAAGAGCACTCAACCTTCACACTCAAATCCCAGAATGTCCCACAGTGTGACAAAGACATCGATCAACCAGCCTGTCTAAACCCCTTTGAGGATGAAGCAGATACCCCTCAAGTAGAAGATCCTGCTAATCCATTTGCCGAAGACACCTCTCCAGTGGTTTCCTTCTCTAAAACAGCTCAGCAAAGTGATAAAAAAGAATATAATCCATTTGAAAGTGAGGAGGAGGATGAACAAAGTAATGGAGCACCTGGCAGTACTTCAAACCCCTTTGAAGAGGATGAAAATCCATTTGAAAAGCCTGGGGGCAGTTGGAATTCAGGGAATCCATTTGAAGAGGGATCCTCTAGCAATCCCTTTGAAGTGGAGGATGGCAGTGAGATCTCTGGAGAGGAGGTTATAGAGGAAGAGCTGCTTCTCCAACAGATAGATAATATTAAAGCTTATATATTTGATGCCAAACATAGTGGACGACTGGATGAGGTGGAGGTATTGACAGAGAACTTAAAGGAACTGAAACACACATTAGCAAAGCAGAAGGAGAAATCTAACTGCTGAAGCAGCAATAGGGCTGTGTAATAACTCTGTCTGCTGTTAAATATGGGAATGTAAAGTAGATACTTACAGACAGGAATACACATCACAAGAGGGAACTGGGAGAATCCTGACTTTAAAGCACTTTCATTTAGACATTGCCACTACTACACAGTCTTGAAGAAAGAATTACTGAGGAATGCTGCTGGTCTCAAAAACTTGAGTAAGAAATTTTAAAATAACTTTTTACAGCACTTTTTAATGCTAACTGGTGTTACTGAATGCTTATTTTGGTCCAGGGGTTAAGTAAGTGCTAACAGGGAACTACGATGGTTTGCCCTCTTTCCTGATTTCTGCTGCAATGTTGGCCTTTCAGGTGTGGCCTTTCAAGTTTTGACTAAAGAGAGATGAAAACTTTTCTAAAACTTTTTCATCCTCTCCTGACCCAGGGTAGTTGAACTGCTAACACTGTTCTGGCAATGTGCTGTTAAAGAGCTGCTGTGATTCTCCGGGATGCTGAATGTACAGGCTTGCAGATCAAGTTTATGCAGTGCTAATAAAAAGGGATCTTAAGACTGAGAAAAACTTTCTAACGTATCTTATAACTTTTTAGAGTCTGTATAAAGATTCCCAAGTAAAATTTGGATGTTTCTTTTCATCACTTCTGGTTTCCCATTTGCTCTGAGCACCAACAATGTTGTCATAGCATCATACTGACTTCAGGCCTGCTCATGAGGGAGCAAGCATTTGCTCATTTCCAGGGAAAGGAGCATCCGGCCAGCACCACTTCTATTGTAATATAAAGGGTGAACCTCCAATTGTAATTGCATTATGGAATCTACGCATTCCTTTAAATCCTCCCTGTGATAGAATGATCATGTTTGTTGTATTTGTGAGACTGGAATATTTTGTATCACTCAAGCAACAAAAAATTTTGTTTTATAATGGAAAGCTGAGATGCCACTGGAATTTTGTGAAAGCTGGAGGACAAAGTCTGGCTGCAATAGTGCCAAATGACAATTCTCTCATGTTAGATTCCCCTCAGTTTTTATGAGAATCAGGCATACCTGTTTTAAATAAGGAACTTCAGATTGAAGACCTCTTGTGATCCTGTGGTCTGGGGGATGACCAGGTGACTGCCAGTACCTGTGATGCAGGAGGGCCTACAGCTGGGCAATGCTGTGTTTTTGAGAAAGATGGTATGTAACCACTTTGATTTTTATGTTTGAGAGGCAACAGAAACATCAGCAGGAATCACCATTTGCAGGAGTGGTGGTGGTGAGTTAATCTTAAAGGGTTTATTTAAAACTGAAATAGAGGAAAATTAGGCAGATCACACTGTATAGCACTAACAATAGTGGGCTTAGTCAGTAGTGTGAGGTTCTGTGAATGGGACATGCCTTTTAATTGTCTCTGATATTGGCATACTGTCTCTGATACTGCTTAAGATTTTAGAGACAACTAACTCTGTTACCTAAAGAGCAGGAACTCTGGTTACTAGCTGTGAGTAAGTGGAGTTAGGGATTTGTGGAACTGTTGTTCAAAAAGACCAAACCACCTATATCCTCACTTAATACCACTAGCAAGGGGTTGAAGTAACTCAGACCAGCCACTCAAGGATTACCTGATGGTCTGTCTGGTGTAGCCTGAATTGGGGTTTGAAAGGTGTGCAAAAGAGGTTGGCTTAAGACCCTGAAGTGCATATAGTGATGTTTTATTGGAGCTGATTGAGTCCCCAAGTGTTACTTTGTACCAAGAAGAAAGAACACAGGATTCTGAAAGGTCTTGACAGAATATAGGTGCTTGGCACCAGATTAATGAAGGCAGCAAAAACTTGATAGCTAAATAGAATACCTGGAATTATTTAAGAGATAGTATAAGGCAGTTATTTAGGACAGGCTTGGTTGCTGTTCAGGAGGATTGCTTCCTGCACTCTAACCTAATGCTTTTTTAGGTATCAACATGAAAATGTTTCAGTGGCTTTGGCTTTCACATTAAAAAGTGTTTTTTTCCTTGTTGCAACTATCCTGCCTTGTTTATATTTTCTGGCTAACACACTAATAACTATAATATTCTTATTGTATACGTAATACATTATTTTTACAAACAGGTAACAGACTAGGATACCTCATGATCTTTGTGAGTGTTAACTCTGATAGCCTAGACAGCTAATACTAAAATTGTCTCTGATGTGAAGACCTTTGCTGGTATAGGGACTGCTGTGAGGCTTGCAAGGCACAAGGGAATGAAGATGTCTTAAGCATAAAGCTCAATAACTAATTAGCATTGACTTTTGTTACAACTGCATGCACTACTCTGTATGAAAACTTTGTAAAAAGAGATGAAATAAAACAACATGTTTATTTTGTGTTATGTTTGTCCTTGACAGTTTGTACTGGATGCTTGCATCTGTGTGAAATTTTATATTCAACTGTGAATTCAGAAATGCTGCAATACAGTTATACAGTGACTTGCATATGTAAGCTTGTCGTAAAGGTCTGTACAGTAGAGTACACTCTATCACGTTTATACATATTACAGGGATGGCGTAATTGTTTGGCAAGGCAAACTGTGATGATTTAGAAGGGGTGTTTTGAGAATTGTAAACTTACCTCTGATATACCAATTTGTCCATTCTCCTTTCCAGCTGATGCTTCTGATTTGTGCTTCTCAGAGCTGCAGTATCAACTGCAAAAGCTGTATCTTGCTGGAAATGAGACTCTGAACTGTTTCTGATTATTAACTACATATATTAGGAAAATTCAATTGAGACTGGAGTTAATATTATCATTTGGCTGTCTTCAGTTGGTACAATATAGACTTTTGCACTACTTTCTACAAACTATGGAATTCTGCATTACTTCTAAGATAGCCTCTCTATCCCAAAGAAAACGTGATCTTGGTATAGCCATAATTGGCTACCTGCAGGCATGAATAAGAAATAAGACTATATTAATTTTGTTTTCCAACATTGGCTTGCAATACTTTGTAGAACCACAGCTTTTTTTTGTGCCAGTTTTAACTTTTATTTATTTTTCACTTAAATTATTCTAGCTGTAGACTTAAGAAGGCTTATGAGGCAGAGTTGTTTGTATTGAATGAACTTGCTTGTTCCTGTTCCCAGGAACTGCTGGCTCTTGACTCTCACTGAGGCACCTTCATTGTCCAGCCCTGAGGAAAAACAGCTGCATAACTTGAGATCTTGAAATGTCAGGCTCATGCCTCATTTTTCATAGCAGCTTTGTATTTTCCCCTCATCTCTTTGGGCAGTGGTACAAAAGCAGGGCAGGGAACTTGGCCTTCAATCTCACACATGCATTCTCGCAGATGATACTTCTTGGGCCCGAAGGTTGCTGGATGTGATAATTTTTTCCTTTCTCTTTCTTCTCTTTCAAGCATTTCCCTAGAAAAGAGATCTGTTTGTTACTATCAGAAGTATGACTGGCAACACTTCCTCTCCCTTCCCTGGACCCAGGTTATCAAGAAAGATGGATTACAGTTCCTACCTTGTGGACGTTACCTCGCTCATGTCAGTTTTATCCAGGAAAGTGGTATTTCCTTCTGCATTCCACAAAAGTTTGTAATATGTATGCTAGATTATATATTAGCTTACTGCATACTACTTACTTGTTTTTTCCCAGGATTTTTTTAACGTGCTCTGTTATCTCTTTGTTGGTTTTATCTTCCACATCAACCAAAACTTGTTCTCCACTGTCTGTCAAGAAAAATTCATATTAGTGTATCAAATGATGCCACCTCCTCCTGCATGCCGTTAAGAGAGGCTTTAAACGCACAAGAATGAAGGATCTACTTCCCTTCTGCAGTTCATGTGTATTGCAATGTTTTAAGTGAAAAGCAAAATCTCCATGAGGGTGAGTCTAGGGGAGCTGCCAACGACTAAAGCGCTGTTTCAATCAAGCAGCTCCATTCCCCGCAGCAGCCGAGGCAGGGCCGAGTGAGAACGACACAAAGGCGGCGGTAACGACGCCGCCGGTGCGACCCAGCCGCCACTCTGCGGCCCCCGCGGCTGGCGCGACCTACCCAGGTAGAACCGGAGGAAGGGCGAGGGAGTCATGTTTCTGAACAGCATGATCTGCACCCAGGGGTTCTTGTACTGGATCTGGGGGATGTTGAAAAACACGAACTTTCTGGAAAGAGACAAGTACACAAGGGCTGGCCCGTTGTCTCTGCGGCGGGAGGGCCGCGCAAGCCCTGGTGTCTTTGCAGGGGCAGCCCGCGCTCCCGCCGCGTCCCACGCTCACCTTGCGCCTTCGCTCAGCTGTCCCGCCGTGTTGTAGTTCACGGTCATCACCTTCACCGAGCTCTTGAACACGACGTCGCCCTGGCTGAGGTACTGCAGGGTCCGGCGCACCGGGAACCGACCCTTCATCGGCATCGCGGCGGCGGCCGGAAGGGGAGGCAGCGCTCCCGCGCGCCTCCTGGCGGACGCTGCGCCGCCCCGCCGATGCCGTCCCGGCAGCGCCCGCGGAGGGCGCGCGCGATGCCCGGGCCTGGCGGCGTGAGGGGCGCTGAGGGCCGTGAGGGGCCCGGCGCACAGCAGCGACAGCGCTGGGGCTACTCAAACCTTATCTGTTCATGATGAATTAAAACCTTAGGAAAAAAGCCCTCTCTCCTCCTAGAGAAGCTCCTTGGAGTCAAGTAAGTTAATGGGATTTCTTTTCTATACCAGATCCTTAAATCTCTTGTGAAATACTCAATATGGTGAAAGCAAAATGCTATTTCTCCCTAAAAGATAGTAAAATATGTATTTGGCTTAGACAGCTCCTGTTCAAGAGGAACTTAAATGAACTTCAAAATAAAACTCAGGAATGCAGTTATATTTGTAATTCACTTTAATGGTAGAAACCTCATTTAGCTACTAGTATTAACCGCAACAATATAATGTCACAACAGCATTTAACAAAATGCATAAACTAAATCATGCACTGCAATACTCTATATACAAACACAACAATGAAAATTACTCTTTATGACTGAAGACATTGTTTGGATATAAAATTTACTTTAAAAAAACCCCATGCTATTATTTTTAAATGCTATCACACACAACAATATTGATTTCACAAAAGAAGCTGTGAGAAATTAAAAACTTTTGCAGTTTTTTAAAATAAACAATAGTTTTCTAAATTATAAGGAATAGAGACTTCCAGAAAATATCCCAAGGAACTGAAAGCAGATGTTTCCTTTTATAAAAATTTGCTGGTTTTTAGGAGCTCAGCACTCCCTAGTATGCCAATACAGATACAACAGTGTGCAGTTTTGAGTCAGGAAACTATGAACACTGGCTTCCAGTGTATTGCAGAGTACAGATTAATTATTAAAAATATTCCAACATTCGATCTTGATTCCATATATGGAAAATTTAACATATACAGTCTGTAAGTAAAATGTTTTCTTCTTAAAGACTGTGCTTTTTGTTTTAAATTTATTCAGTTCTACTTTAACCCACAATCATGACAATACCGTAAAATGGACCTGTGTTGTATTATTGCAGAGCCTTTATTGCCACTACATTTGAGCACATTTTGTCCTTCAGAATACAAACAATTCAAATGTGGATATAACACATTTGGTTTCACTGAACTTTGCCTTTTTCTTTTTTTTCCCCTGAATTCAGAGTTGAGTTTTTAAACGGATTCAATCTTGCATTAATGCCCCAATTGGCTTCCTAAACTTTAAAACTGTTCCTACAGTACAGCGACTTTAATAGACTTTCAGGTTTCTATTCACGTTTAAAGAGGAAAGCAAGTATTCAAACACCACCAATTGTCCAGACACCAATGAAGGAACATCTGCCACAGAAGCGCCTGACGTTAATTTACATATTTTTCCTGCTGAAAATCGGAGAAATAGGGTTTTGAAATGCTACAGGTTTATTCCCATATTTGAAATAAAAGCTTACAAATGCTCACTAACCAATACACCAAGAAAGAGAACATTGTCAATATTTTCCATAGCAAACTTTCCAAACTTCCCTCAGACTTGTGGTTCACTTTAAGCATGCACAAAGTTCATGTTATTTTGCTTAGTGTCTTATTATCTGGTTAAACATACACAAGTCTTTGCCACAGTAAGCACAAAAGGTGGAAATAAATGCCCAGAAAATTCTATTTTACTTTTTTAATGACAGAAACAGGACTTGCTGAATTACTGTCCTGCATGGTCTGTGAAATGCTTTTTTAAAAACCCACAGTTAACAGATTTACTTTATGGAAGGCTTAATTTTTAACTTCATCAAAAGGGAAGAAGAACAAGACTTGTTTATACTTTGACAATGTAAATGTTTGAGTCTTCATTATGAATAAGAAATTGTCTTACGCCATATCTCATTTCCCAACTGTGTGCCCAGGTCCCACATGGACAGTGGGACTGTCACAGGCAGTGCAGGAGCTCCACAGATTGCAGACCCAGGAGAGGACAGAAAGTAGAAAGGGACATTAGTCTGACAAATAAATTAAGAAACTAGCTGTGTTCAGTTTAGGCTGGAAAATAAAAACTTCGGAAAGTGAATATGCAATTGAAATGCACTGTGAAAATACTGAGGATGTCTTGAGGCTTGCTAAGAAATAAACTACCTGCAATGTCCCTATTATTTAATTACCATTGTACCAGAGCTGCTGTTTCACTGACCCGAGCATACAGTCTCTAACTCACAGGTTGGCGTACTGAGATCACTATGACAATATGATTATTGATTTATTAAACAGCATCCATTACCTCCTGTTATGTGTGCTGCAGTTCAGTGATAAATGGCAACTTGGTTTACTTTCAGTTAGCCACAGATGAAGACTTAAAACCGAAAAATCAGTATCTTGCCAAGCTTCACAAAAAATACAACTTTAAAAAAGTATCTCAGAAAGCTGGAAAAGAATGAGCATAATGAGCATAATGTGCAGGGAAGCATTTTCTATGACTATAGTTATTTATTCATTATTTTTAAAAGGCATTATATGCTCAAGTAACTATTGACTGACAGACCTCTATAAGTCAAATGAGGAAAGGTAAAGAGAATAATGTAAAAGCCAGAAAATTCATGGAATATATTTGTCAATTCTGAACAGCAAATAGTGAATTCAGACTGTTTTAGAAAAAAAGGTGCAAAGCTCTGAAATTTGTGAGGATTCACCAAATTAGGAAGCTCTGGATTAGCAAATGAATAAAAAACTTTAGCACATAGAATAGATGAATGGCTCCATATCTGTACATATATACATACACTACACATTTTCTATACACTGTACAGAATATATTTAGACAGAGAGATATAAACATATACATTCATACACACATACATACATCTATGTACATAATCATCAGCTGCTCAAGTGAGTTCTAGAACTGAACATGCAGAAATGCACAATGGTAGGAGGCACAAAATAGACAGGTACAACTCTATCAAACTCCTTAAAAAGAAAGGCAGGAATTTAACAATAATAAATGCATTTTCAAAGCATTCTTGTAACTCAGAGGATTGAACAGATTGTGGGCATTAATGGAACATTACAACAGTATTACCTGTGATGAACTTAGCATGACTTCACAATAAAAACAGCTAAACTTTAGATGCTTAAATTTAGAGCATCTGAACTTTACAAAGAATTTTAACTTGTAACCCCAATATAAATAATGTTCTAAGTTTTTTTTTTTTCACAAATAATTTCCCATATGTTGATAACACGATTGCAGCTGAAGTAGGGTTGTAGCATTATCTAACAAGAAGGGCTAATGGCATCAAACAATAAGCCTGAGCTTAATTCAGAAGTATTTGCTGTTAAAATGACTCAGCAAGTTTAGAATTAAAAGGTACAAAAAGTAAACGCTTTCATTCTCTCTCCTTTGCCATCCCCTCTTAGTAATTTTTCATATAAAGCTGTTTCTAAACTAATTTCCTGTAATTCAAGATCCAGTAGATGTTGGTAATTTGTCCTTCCTCTGCCCCTCACTTTCCTCTCTAGGGTGACCATGCCCTCATTTGGCTGATTCCTCCTGGATGTTTGGAAGTGTTAAGACTGCACACTGTTGTGTGCTGTTGTCAGCTGGCCCATGCTTATCACCAAAGCCAACTACTGCAAAAGCTCTTCTGTTGCTTTATGGCAAACCCTGGGAACAGGTGGGAATCTGCCTGTGTTTTCTGGCATTTATTCTTTTGCTTTTATGGACAAGAGTAGGTGAAAAAAAAACCCCAACATATCCTGGTTTTGCACTATTAAGAGTAACTGAGGAGGAAGAGAGGGAACTCAAATATCAACATTTTTGTTCTCATCCAGTAGATATGTGCTGATACACCTGTGTGTCTGACTGACCTGCCAGTTCTACTGTTCACTTCTGGTTCAAACAGGGCTTGGACTGGTGCTGTTAGTGCAGGAAGCTGCTTTGTCACTGCTTGAGCAGTACCCTCAGCCCATTCATTTCCAGTTCTGTCTTCCTGGTTAAACTGTATTCCTGAAACCCTTTGTTAGTCATGCAATTTAGTGCAATTTAAAAAAAAATTGTCTTTTACTAATTAAACAGCAGGTAATCAGGAAAGAATCCTAACTACTATCTGAACTTTAATGCGCAGGAAAATCTACTTACACCTGCAGTATCCTGAATGAAATAATTCAGGAATCTGTGAGTCCTGTGTACTATGTGAAACAATAAAAAAACCACACAAGTGTTTTACAGTCTCTACCAAAGGAGAAACAAAGTCAGGAAACTGATTTCACCTGGGAGCTTCAGGTCTTACTTGGTTTCTCTATGGCAGCCTCAGAACGTGCCCTTTACAAAGGGAACTGTAATGGTGATTCAGAGCTGCTGGATTCTGCACACTGACCTGGAACCAGAGCTCCTCACAAGAGGCATTGTGGCTGTCTGGGGGGGCCATGGGCTTCAGAAGATAGTGAAAGGAGACTTGGCAAACAACGCCAGCTGATCAGTGGAGAGCAACAATAGTTTCTTGCTGCAGTGTGCTCTGAAAACTAAGTCTTTTTAATGATCTAACATTATAAGGCAACTAAAAGAAAGCCTTGTACGACTTCTTAGAAGGATCTCTCCTTCGAAATATTTTTTTCCTCTTCTACCAGTTTCATGCCAGAGTAACTCCACAGACACCAGAAGCATTTCAGCCAATTTATAAGCAATGCAAATATGCAGAGAAAGATTACTTTTGCATATGGTATTAGTTTTGGCTCTACAGTCCAATGTAAGTAAATAAAAGGAAGAAAAGAGTATACCTTCCTACATTTGTCACAAATGCAATTAAAATCATTATGACAAAGCTAGTCCCAAATGCTTTTTATCTACAAAATTCAAATCCAGTTCCTTTGCAAAAGAGTTGGAAAACAAATGAAGCACAGTGGACATTACTGCCTCATTATCATTCCCTACATTGCCTCATTATCATGCCCCAGTCTCAGTCAGCACAGAATTCTAACATTTGTCTGAATGAATTGTGACTAGTATACACATTTGCTCAGGTTCAGATAAATCTAATCAGATAATTTATTATTGTATTTCTGCCAAGTTAAAATATTTTAATTTCAAGAGCAGCAGAAATAGAACCGCAAAAGTTCTGAACAGAATAAATTTTGGCACTAAGTAGAGCTTCAGTGAGATGAACTTTTCCTAGATTCACTTTGTGACTGTGAGAGTTTGACTCC